TTTAACAGCAGCCGCGGTGACATCAGCTCCAGCCTAGCTCCACCGGCTCCTCTGCCCCCAGGACAGTTGCTAGCGTCTCCGGGGCCAGCGGGGAGACGCCCAAACCCAGGGGATTTTCCGGCTAGAGACTCGCTCCAGCGAACGGGGCCGGGGCTGGAACAAACCCCTCGTTTCACACACCGCCTGCCACGGCTCCCCTGGTTCCTGCCCTGCTGTGTCTGTAACAGCCGGTCGCAGTGGTCAATGAGGGGGGTTGCCATGGGGCTGAGCAGGCTGCAGGCTCTGGACCCTGCCTCCGGCCCGTGTTTAACCCTGTTCAGTGTGGGGCAGGGGCTGGGGCGTGTTCGCACTTTGGGCTCTTTATTGCATCTCCTTGAACACAACAGGGCGCAGAGTGATTTAGCCGCCGGCACTTCTGAGCCCCCCATGGCGGGTGTTTTGGGGGGAGCCAGATGGGGGGAGCCGGGAGTTTGAGGGAAGTAGTTTGGGGGTGTCAGGATGGGGGTTGAGGGCAGAGGGGTTGGGATGGGGACCGGAGTTTGAGGGCAGACCGAGTCCCCGCAAAGGTCAGAGCTGGGGGGCAGGATTGTTTGGGGGGGTGAGGGGGAAGAGGGCAGATGGTGCCACCCAGGAGGGAGGTGCCATTTTCACCACTCAGCAGGCTCCCCTCTCACTGCCCCCCCTGCTCCTGACCCCTCAGTCCTGGGTCCCCCACTTTCTTTCCCCTCAGTCTCCTGGCCCCACAAAACCCACATTCCCTGAGGGAAGTTGGGGGGTGTGAGGGGATAGGGGATGGCGTGAGTAGAATGGGGGAGGAGATGGGGCATGAGGAAACACAATGGTGGGTAAAGGGACATGGGAGAGGGGGCAGAATTGGGGGATGGGGACCTGACGGGGGATGTGAGGGAACTACAGAATGGGGAAGGGGACATGGGCCAGGGGGAGGAAAGGGGGAGACAGGAACATGAGGGGACACAGGATGGGGTGGGGGTGGAGGGACGTGTATGTTTGGTGTTTAGATGCTGCTGTAATGATTAGAACTGGGAGCACTGGCTGTTGGGAGTCGGAAAGGACGGGAAACAGGAAGGAGGGGGAGGAGTTGAGGAGGCGGAGTGAGGGTTACAGAGGGTGCAGCAGCAGTTTGTAAAAATAAAGTCCTGTTGCAGTGTGTTAGTACCTTGCCTGCCTGATACAACATTTTGGCAACGAGGGTGGGATCTTCTGCCTCTGAACCCACCTGCACCCTTTCTGCAAAGCCCAGGTGAGCCTCCAATTGTTTTTACGGTCTGGAGGGATAGCTCAGTGGTTTGAGTATTGACCTGCTAAACCCAGGGTTGTGAGTTCAATCCTTGAGGGAGCCACTTGGGGATCTGGGGCAAAAATCAGTACTTGATCCTGCTAGTGAAGGCAGGGGACTGGACTCAATGACCTTTCAGGGTCCCTTCCAGATCTATGAGATATAGGTATAGCTCCATATGTCTGAGACTTATCTGCTTGCTGTGATTAATGTGCACAAGCAGTGTTAGGACTAAAACTTCCGGAAGTTGTAAGCAGCGAGTACAGTTAAATCCTGCAAGCCTAAACATAATCTAGCTAGGAAACTCTGTAAAGATAGATACAGACTTGTGGTCACTATGCTCTGCAACCAAATACCTCTTTAAGCTGAGGCTAGCAAATGGACCACAATTAGCCGCATAGAGAAGAGATGAGCTGAGCACAGATTCACAGTTCATAAGATCGAGACAACCGCCAATACCACACTGACACATTTGGCCACCTTCATTGGTTGACCTGTTTTGAAACGCGGCCAGCAAACACCTTATAAAAAAGGTGCAAAAACGCAAGTGTTTTCTGTATGTGTTGACCTAAAGGAGATCCCTCTTCGTCAGGCTCACATGCACCCCCTGAACCAAAGGGACTTGCGCTTCCCCGACTATCTGTGCTTGGCCAGCGCAGGAAACGGTCGATTGAAAGGGTCTGACGAAGCAGACAGGAACCGTCCCCTGGTTCAATGGTGTAGCCAGGTGGAGGGAAAGGGGGAGCAATAAAAAAAAAGGTGCCACCCACTGCGGTGCTTTTACTCACCCAGCGGCGCTCCGGGTCTTTGGTGGCACAGAGTCGCTCCGGGCTAGAGAACAGTGTTGCATTATTCCCTCTTGGAGTGGAGGCCCCAGGGGTCCAGAGTGAGTGGACTCCCTGAGGGGGCCCACTGTGAGAGACAGGCATGCTAAGGCTCAGAGAGGTGCGGTTCCAGAAGGTGGAGGGGCTTAACCTCCTGGACAGAGTGGACCCCCGAGAAGGGCTGTCGCTCTGAACGGGGTTCCCCCCAGGGACCGCACAGGGCCAAGAGTGGGCACGATCTGTGAGTCCGTGACAACGTGGTAGCAGAGGATGGTTGGTGGCTGCACCCTGTAGATGGTTGGTTGTGAGCGCAGGCGCTTTCCAGAGAGTGGTGGTTAGCGATAAAACGAGGGAATTGAAAGAAACCAGCCTGGAAATGGCCTAGAACCAGCTCCGTAAGAGGGACCTGGCCCCTGGGAGAGAGGGCTGAGCATTGGGAGGATCACTAAGGAGTGGCTCATAGCTCAGCTTGTAGAGAATGACCAGTCTGAGGAACAGACTCCAGAGCCCAGGTGGGCTCTCGGGGTGTAGCCAGGGGGCGGTCACTGTAGCAGCCGGGAGTCTATCAGATCCAACGCCCCAGTCAGCGGGGGGCTCCCCAGTCAGGTTTCTGCCTGGAGGAGCTGCGGAGACTGGAGCTAAAAGCGAAGGAGCTGGAGCTGGAGGAGTGGAGGCTGGTGGACCGTGCAGAACAGCGGAAGCATGAGTTGGAGATGGACGAGCGGCGGGCCAAGAGGACCTGCCGGGGGGTAAGTGGGGAAGGCTCCCAGGACGCCAGTTTTGTGGGAATCTAGACACCAAACTGCTTCCCCAGTTCAAGGAGTGGGGGTGAGAAGGCTTGTGATCTGTACCAGACTGACCCCGCAGATAGACTTCACTGTCTGACCCCCCCTGCTGGGTCCCAAGGGCATAGAGGGATTCAGCCAAATGGATGGGATTGAGACGGGGGACTATGACCTGTTCAAACAGGCTTTGCTGCTGAAGTTTGAACTGACCCGAGGCGTACAGGAAACGATTCCGGGGTGTGCGCAAGTCCTCAGGTATCACTTACAAGGAGGTCGCCAACCTGCTGGGGGAATATCTCGACAAGTGGGGGAAGGGCACAGGGGCCACTACCGCAGAGGACGTGTATAACCTGGTTGGGTTGGAGCAGCAGTATGACATCTGCCCTCCGGACCTTAAGATGTGGCTGGCGGACCAGAAGCCAAGGATCTGTGCAGTGCTGGTGCACTGGTGGATGAGTTTGTTTTCAGCACATCGGGGACAGGAGGGAGACCCACATTGGGGACTCAGAAGGGGAGTCACCCAGAGACCTCTCAAAGGTGGGACTTCAGGAAGCCCAACTCAAGGGTGCCTGGGAATGCCGGGGCGGGCCGACCCCCGTCCTGGGACTTGAGGGACCTGAAATGTAATTACTGAGGCCAAAAGGGACACAAGGTGGCACAATGGCTGAAGATGAAGGAAATGGCAGCCAAGCAGAACCCGCAGGTGTCAACTGGGTGGAAGCCCCCCGAGAGGGGGCATCGCCGGTCCAGGAGGCCACAGTCGAGACGGCTGTGCCAGAGGGAGGGGACCACCAGGCCAGGCCAGCAGGGGAAGGTTGGGCCCCAGGTCCAGGGCACCCGTACTCAACCCGCTGGGTGAGCATGGGACAGGCCCAGGGGGGCAATCGCCACATCATCCCCCTTGAGGTGGGGTGAAGGAGCACCCAAGGGTTTTGGGACACGGGTGCTGAGGTGATGCTGGCACGGTCCGAGGTGGTGGGCCCAGACTAGGTAGTGCTCGATGCCTACATGAATCTGAGGGGAGTGTTCGGGCCCCCCGTCTGTCACAGACTCACAGATCATGCCCACTCTTGGCCCCGTGCAGTCTGTGGGGGGTGTCCCTTTCAGTGTGACAGCCTTTCTTGGGGGTCCACTCTCTCGGGGTTAAGCCCTCCACCTCCTGCAGCCACACCTCTCTGAGCCTTAGCAGACCTGTTTCTTGCCATGGGCCCCCTCAGGGAGTCCACTCGCTCTGGACCCCTGGGGCCTCCACTCTCAGAGGGAATAATGCAATCCTGTTCTCTAGCCTGGAGTGACTCTCAGCCAGCGTAAAACAGGAGGGTTTATTGAGCGTTGAACACAGCACAGGAAACTCTCAATGCTTTAGGCCTGGCCTCCCTCAGCCCAGCACATCCCAGTCTCCCCTGCATCCAGGTGAGCTCTGCCTGCTCTCTCTCTCTAGCCCAGAGCCCCCCTGTTTCCCAGCTGGGCATCTGATATCACCAGCCCCAAGCCCCGCCTCTGTCCTTTGTCTTCTGTCTCAGGTAAACGGTTGCCTGGGCCTCCTCTCATCTGTCCTTTGTTCCTCACGGGCTAGAACCAGCTGGTCAGGTTACCAGGGTCCTCTCTTCACAGCCCATTCTCCTGCCCCTGCCCAGAACCGGCTGCGACTCCTGAGCTGGGCCTCCCAGTCAGCCGTCGCTGGGGTATCCATTCTCCAGGCCGTTCACTGGCCCTCTGTAAAACAACTCCCCTCTTCCATCACCTCGTTAAACCAGTAACACCCAAGGAAACTGAGTCCCGCCCCCTCTGCATGCAAACCATTGGAAACAACAAGAAACCCCCTGCTTCGTCACATTGCCACCAACACCCGGTGCTGAGCTCCACCGAGCCTCAGGCCCAAGTGCGAGCAGAATGTGGAAATACATCGGGGGGCTGCAGCTCCAGGAAGCCTGTGATGCGCTTGGCCCCCTTCTTCTCATCCCTGCAATCTTGAGGGCAAATCTACTATGGTCAGAGCAAAGTCAGCTCCCTGCCATGCCCAGCAAAGCACATCCCTTCCTGCAGCTGCCTGGTCCCCTGCTCCCACGATCACCTCCCAGCCCCACATGGGAGCTGCCCACTCCGGGGACCATCTTGGAAAGGGGGAATCTCAGGATATGTCAAGAGGTGCCCAGGCTCAGACTGCCCTCACCTTTTCCAACAGGCCCGTCTAGCCTCCCTGGAGCAGCAGCTCAGAGCAGAGGAGGTCTTCATCTCCCACCTGTCCTCCGAAAGGAGCGTCCCTCTCCCATGAAGCAGGGCAGAGATTCCTTCCTGACCCAGCTGGTCCCAGCGCCCACCCTGGAGCATGTGGGTGGAGGGGCCTGGCCAACCTCCTTTTCAGGTAGCGTCGCTGCAGATGCTATTCTTAGCGCAGTGGTGTGAGATAGAGACAGGACAGAGGGGTGGAGGGGTTGTGGTTTCCGGCCCCTGTAATGGGATGGGGGAGGGATAAATTTAGATGCTAAGTTGCTAAAGCAGCAACCGAAATATCTGTGAAAAGGGGAAGTGTGTCCAGAGCCGGCGCTCGCTTGCTGGTTCTGCTACTCCCAGTGAAACTCAGCTTAAACCTGATTCCCCGTTAGCGCCCCATCTACCCCAGGTGTGCCACACTCCTCTGGCGCCGGTACAGGGGGCTGCCCGGGGGGGCTGGTTTAATGATCTGTGTTTATTACAAATCTGGAGGTTAACAGGATGCAAAATAACATCAAAGCTGCCTTGAAGCGTCTCCTACCCATCCCAGTGCTGAGCCCCCCCTTCCCCCCACATGTAGGCGGGGTAGGGGGACAGAAGCTTGATGGGACGGGGCTGCAGCGAGGGGAGGGCAGCGTCCTCCCTAAATCTTCCCTAGATGTAGAGTTCTCTGGGGCTGTCACTGTTGGGGCGTGAGGCTGTTGCCCCCTGGGGTCTGGTGCCCCATGGCTGCGGGGGGCTCTCACTGCGGGGCTCCCCGGCTCACGTTGATCACATCGTACACACTGGGCTGCAGCGTCTGGCGGTCCAGCTCGGCGTAGGTGTTGGGGTCGGGCTCCTTGGTGTGGGAGGGGAGAGAGTCACGTGTGTGTGTGTGTGTTTGTGTGTTTGTGTGCGCGCTTGCACCAACCCCCCCCCCACCACACACACTCAGAGTAGGGCCCATCCCCTCCAACAGGGGGCGACAGGGAAACACACATACACACCCTGCAATCCCAGCTGGCGATCCCATAACCCCCCCCTGCCTATAGCCCGACTCCCACCCCAAACCACTGAGTGTGCCAGGAGGCAATCCTGTTCTCTAGCCTGGAGTGACTCTCAGCCAGCGTAAAACAGGAGGGTTTATTGAGCGTTGAACACAGCACAGGAAACTCTCAATGCTTTAGGCCTGGCCTC